TCTTATGAAAGCTGAAGTAGTTTTTCCGAATAACGGTAATTGGCTCTCCGAAAATTTCTGGCAAAATATTAACCCTAAATTAAAGCGCTTGCTTGTTCTTCAGCAAACAATTCATATCTTAAATTAATTTAACCATTTAATGATTTTATAATTCTTTATTCTTTAAGTTTTCACAATACCTGTCCAAAAAGGCCATCACCGAAATATAGCGCTTGCTTGCTCCCCGGTAAAAAATTCGTCTTAAATTAATTAAACCTCTCAATAATTCTTTCCATTTACGCAATACTTATACTAATCGTCTGTTTCTGGATGATCCTTTTGTTATATAATATTAATACAACTTTTAACCCACACAAAAAATTTTGAATTCTGCGCTTTGAAAAATGTGTGTGAGTGGTGTAATTGAAATTATTTTGCTACAAAATTTCTACTATACCAATTAAAAAAAATCATTTTAATCTGTAATTCCCCCCTTCCCCGCCCATCCCTATTCAAACAATAAGTTTTTTTTTAAATTTAGCTCTTATGTATTAAAGGTGCTGTTCTATAGCGTCACTTAACTAGTAAATGATTGCGTTCTGGTGACGTGTCACTGAACTCGCGCGATCTGATCGTGGACTAAGCTTGAGGTCTGTGCTACACATTAAGGTATCCTCGGATCCTTGAGACAAGTCCCCAAAAACCTGTCTTCGCCTGGTCATTGTCATTGCCGTATTGCACCTCGCCGTCATCAACAATAACCTCTCCTTCGGGGAGCCTGTCTTCTAAGGTGTGGAGGTAGTCGAGGAGAGCCTTTCGAGCTTCAAAGAAAAGCATTAATTATTATCTGTAATTCTGCGCGTATTAAAAAAAATATAAATTTACCCACGAAGCCACACGGCACAAAACCGTTGAAAATGCTGATCGCAAACAGCTCTTCAGTAGACAGGGAGTCCACTTGCGCGGTTTCAACTGCGTCTTTCAGACGTTTGGGAAGGTGATCTGTTCGAATCCCCTGGGAAGGTTTTGTGAAATGCACGCCGACCAGGACCTTAATTCTTTTCTGTCTGGCGTAGTCATACAAGACTTGAGCATGTCGTAGGTGAGCTGAAAGAAATTTTATAGAAATAATCAAAAATACTGCATCAAGGAGAACATAATAAAAATTTACTGTCTGGTCACCTGGTCGCTGAAGTGATTTTGAAGAGAACTCTGATGGTAAATAAAGAGTATTTGTCGGCCAGCTGCATGATTTCATTTACTCCGGCGATAGTGCTCATTCGCCAGGATCCTTTGAAACGGACGCGCTTTTCAGCAGGCAGCAAGATGGCGGGTACTTCGTGGTGTTGAATTTTGAACCGGAATTCAAAATTTTTGAGACGTAAATTTGAAAAATGAACGTTAGAGGAAACAGTTTGAGAATCAAAGAAGATTGGAAATTTCAAATTGTTTCAATTTTTTCATTGTTTAAGGACTCCTTATTGACATAGTCAAATCAAGTCTTTACAACAATGGTGATTAAAATTTCCAAATGTCTTTCAACAATCGCAAAAATCTGTTTATATTGTTGTAAGGACTTGATTTGACTATGTCAATAAGAAGTCCTTAAACCCTATTAAAAGGAATTCATTTAAGAACTCCTTACTGGCAAAGTCAATTCAAGTCTTTACAGCAATGATGATGTTAACTTCACAGGTTAAAATGACACAATTATAAAAACGAAAAATTGAAACCGGGCGAACCTCGTTGCAATGAAAAAATAAAGGACAACTGACCCCAAAGGCGACCTGCGGTCTGCTGGTACTTTAAAACCTAGGGTTTCTTGTGTCCAACTGAAACTAAGTGGGAGGAATTTTTGAAAAATTAAAAATAAAATAGGGAGAATTCTCTTAGTTAGATTTACTTGGACACAAGAAACCTTAGTTTTAAAGTATCCAGCAGACCGCAGGTCGCCTTTGGGGTCAGTTGTCCTTTATTTTTTCATTTTTTCTTTGCAATGAGGTTCGCCCGGTTTCAATTTTTCATGAAATCCACCTCGAGTGTTACCATTCAATTATAAAAACATTTCACCTTAACAAAATATAGCGCTTGCTTGCTATTTTGTATAGAACTTTTTTTTCTAATGGCACCCTTTTAGTTTTTCAACTTTGGGGTTGGTCTGCGACGAATCATTTTCAATTTTTTGAACATTTCCAGAGAGATAGTTAATTTAAAAGAACTTAATTGTAGAGTAAAACAGAATTAAAAATGAAATAAAATGATAAAGTGCTTAAAGGCTAATAAAATGTAATGAATGCAGTTGCAAATCTCGTTCTTTATATTTGTCAAAATTTAAAACTTGCATTTAAATTCACTTGTTTCAAAACCAGCTATCAATTAATCACTGTTGAATCACCATTATCGCTAATGAATGAATTAAGGAAGAATTAGAACGGTTTTGAAATATATAATTTTCAGAAGATTTCCTTTTTGTGATTGAGTAACGGAGAAATCTCCTTTGATGAATACAGATATTTCCTGTCTCGACGCGCAGACAGATGAAAATAACATTTTTCTGGTATCAAGCAGCTGTCTCGGTGTGCCGGCGTACACGACTTTTCCATCTTTTCCCGAGACGAAGGCAAACAAGCCGAGCTGAAAGGCGACTTGAGGCGTCACTTCCAGAGTGGTCGGTCAAATGCGCGACGCTATGTCTGGACGCAAAAGGCGTCGTTCTCTTGCAATATATCAACAGTTAATAAGCAACAAGTCAGCATATGCCAGCAGCTTGATGGCTTCTTCATACTGCTTTAGATATTTAATACGCCATTCGCGCGCTGCACGTTTCGTCGCAAATTGAATTCCATTGTAGTGGCAGTATATATGATTTTATACGTCGCGCCGTAAAGCTTAACTCGCGCTGCGTTTGATGTGAATGCCGTAACTCGCAGCGAGAATTTGTATTAAGATTTTATTAAAATGTCTTTCAAGCGCCCAAGAAGTAAAGCAGGCTGGTAGAAAGCTAATAACCGACGATGGAAAGCCATTCTGTCGAGTCTTGGTGCTTAGAATATTCAATTATCTTGGATTTGAATTTTAAAAAATACATCAGAAATAAAAAAAAGGTTGAATGATAGTGAATAAAACACTAATACATTAAGCTATAAATATTATTTATGAAATTCCTCTTAATTCCAGACAACAAACTGAAACAATAGCAAAAAATTTCAATTTAGTTTCATTTTCAAATAATTGATCCCTTTCATTAAATGTGTCATTTCCATAAAACTCTCGAAACATTTCCGAAAAGGCGAACAAATATATACATAACGCTTGCATGCTTGCTTTTTGAAAATCTGAAAGTTGAATTACGCATAGGCTATTTTTTTTTTTTTAAAATTTGATAATTTTTCAGCTTTGTGTACGACATTTGCCCTTTCCTTTGGTCATTTAAGCAGTTGCTTATTTGTTTTCACTTGGCGGAGCAATTTCAAGAATGGACTGATTTTCCAGTGGTAATAGAAAAAAGTAATTCCGAGCTCCCCTAACGCCCCAGCGGCCACGCGCTGTTTCATGTACAAATAACGGGGCGGGCAAGCTGCGTGGGGTGCAGCAAGTAAGAGAGGAAGATGCGCTCCGTCTCATTCCACCGTCTGCTTTTTAATCATACTTTGGTCGGTTCGATTGTTGAGCTTTGGCCGAGGGCAGGTGCGGCCTCTGTACTTTGTCCGCCCGCCCAAGATTAGATGTCACAAAGTAAGTCCCCTTGTTCGCCTAGCCCCGCTCTCGCCATATCGTCCAGCAAGCATTAAGAAGTCATCGCCGGGGTGACCAGACCACCGCTGGGGTCGAGATATTGAAGAGATCTGTCTGCATTTTGTTTGCGGATACAAGCGACAGGGGGCAAACTCTTGACCCTCTCGCACGTGAGAATGTTTCATCCAATGGGATTTCAGAAAACGCTTCTTTGTTTGAGTATGATTTCAAAATTCAACAGCCCTTTCATAAAGCTTTCAATAAGAAATAAAATTCCATGGAGGAGCTTATTTCTCCTCCTTGTTGAGTATTGCCTTGGTTTAAAATTTGAAGAATTTCTGTCATATGTGTGTTATTTGTGTCTTTAAAAGCTCTCGACTATATATTTTAAATTTTGAAATTTTGTACAACATTTTATATTTAAAATCAATATGAAATCATATAATCCTTATATTATATTAAGAAAAAGTAATTGTTCCTTTTGCTGAAATTATATCAGTTTTACTCTGTTGAATTTTCTTCTGAAATCTTTAAAATAACTAATAATTTAAATATAAAATATATAAAAAATAAATTTATTTTTGTTGAAAGTTAGCTAAAAGTTTACATGCTATGGGAAAATCGCTTTTAATTACTCACTCATTACAACAAATCTGTAGGGTTTTATTATAATTATTTTAAAATACTTTGTTAGAACACGACATATAATTTGCTGAATATATGTAAACAAACGATGTTTAATCCGAGTTTATTACGTCCCACCCAGTTTTTAACAACAATGGCAATGTGGGTGTGTAAAGAATGGAAAATGTTGAAGTTGGTAGTATATTTTTGGTCCCCTCATGCGAGCGGGGCAAAAAACCAAAGCAAATGTAACCAAGTGCACCAGAGCAAACAGCCGCAGGAAAAATGCATTTTTTGCGCACGCGGGCAACAGGCCCGACGCAAAAACGCCGACACAAAAAACACGGCACAAAAGAAAGCCAAGCGACCACTCGATTCAGAGGGTTCGGCGGAGCATTCTGTGCGGTCACCGGTGCGTGATGATCCAACGTGAAATAATTCGCGCACTGAGCCGCCGCTTTTTCCTGGGTTCTCTCTCGACCGTTGTAAACACGACGGCGATTACACAATCGGCAGAATGCGAACGAGGACGGGGCCCTTCGGGGAACTGTAAGGAAATGATTGCCACGTACGGTAATGGCGGTTGCATGTAGCGTGTAATAATAATGGATCTGATTCAGCAGCCGCAGGAATCTCATGTGCCTCTTGCTCCTCTGTTGCAGGCGATTGATCTGCTTCACCGAACTGCACATCACAACCTCTGCTAGGTGAGTCCTCCTTTTCCTCTTGCACTTTTTGCTCATTGCCGTCACGTTCAGCCGCGGAGAAATGCTGAGTGAGCGAATCGATTTATTTCTCGCATGGATTCACATGCGGGTTAGTTGAATTCTTATTGCGAGCCAAGTTGAAGAATTTTCCATTTGCATTAAATTATAATAACGCAAATCAGAGGGAAGTAGGGAGAGTTGTAATAATCAATTTTATTAACATTTTAATAAAATCAAATTATGTATATAACATGAATTTTTAGCATATTCATAATAAATTTTAACTAATGTGAGTGCAAGCTTTGCACATCACAACAATCGGAGAAAATTTTGATTGTTGCCAAGCGTTTCGATTGGGAAAAATTTACTTGTACCCAATCAGAGAACTCTAATAAAAATCAAATTAAGTTTCATTGTTGTGACGCTTGAATCTTTTTTGAGTGCACATTAAAATAACTGGAGAACAAAGTGGAAAAATTTTATGCTTTCAGTTATAAATTTTTTTTTAAACTTCGATTTACAAAATAAAATTAATTATAATGAAACATTTAGTGATTTTAAAAAATATATAAAAAATATTTTTATAAAATTATGGAATATATAAAAAAAATTGTCTTAAATTAATATGCTCAAGCGAGCATTATAGTTCATGCGTAGTTATTGACAATACATTTAAGTTACATAATTATATATTATACATTAGTTCTACAAATTTATTTGTGGATTCTAAGTTATTAGAATTTAAATAGTTAAAATCAGTATAGGCCTATTTGCAAGTAGATATAAAAAAAGCACGCTCAGGCACGCTTAACGATTTTGGGCAAAATTGTGTTATAAAGTCGATTTTTCTTTTGTCTTAAAAGAAGATATTTCCATTTCCATATATGTATCCAATGGCAGGAGGAGGGGAGTTATAGGGGTCGTTGGACCGAATCCGCCACTCTGGCATTGAGAGCGAGAGCGATCGGTCGAGGCGGCTTTTTTCTTTCTTTCCTTCTTAGTTCATTTCTTCCGTTCTTTATGTATAAGTAAGAGCTTTCGCGGTCTGCAGATAATGATATTGGCAAAGCACTTGAAAATATTCCGCCAGTGGGTGGTTGCCTGACTTTCATTCTATTCCGGCTTCCCTGTAACCGAACTGATCGATGCCTGAGAGTGCTGCTGATGAGGGACGAGAGTTGAAATATTAAAAAGCAGTCTCTTCCAGCAACGCAGCAGGCGACCGCGATAAAAGAAGAAGTCCCTCAAGATTTGCTCCTTTCCTTTTCAGAGCTCGAGAGATGGAAAGGCCCTGGGCGCTGTTTAACGGCCAAATTTCCGTAATGTGCCGCAATGATAATTTAATTCACCCTTTCCGAGTCAATTAGCGTCACTGCCGAAATCGATCCAAGTGGACGTTTTAGCTCTTTGTGCTCTTGCGACGAGACCCAAATTGTCTCTGGATGCTCAAGTGTGTAAGTGTGCGCTCCTCTGCAGAAACCGCACATATGGAGCGAGAGAGGGAGGAGATGAGCGTGCATAGTTTATTGCACGTGCGATGTTCGGCGCTAATGAGAAACTGACATCGCACATACAGGCCTTGCCGTAGACAACACTCGCGCTAACTGTAATTATTTACTCGGCGGAGCTGCGAGCGGAATTGCCAAGGTGGAATAATGAGCGCAAGGGGCCCTGCAGCCTCACCACGACGCACTCTCGTCTGCCTGAATGACTGACTGACTGCGCCGAGTTCGGAGACAATACACGTTGTTGACCTATTTCACATCTCTTCTCTCTCCGTTGGCCTAATGCGCCATTCAATTACGCAAGGATTACGCCAACACGTCATCAGATTAAGACCGGCAGGCACTTCTCTTTACCTGAGCCCTTTATTTTCTCTCGTATATTAAAAATCCACTTAAAAAACTTTCGCAATTACCAGCGTTTCATCTCGCGAGTACTTACGGTTTTCCATGATAAAAATTGCCTCATTTGAATAGAGCGCTCGGAAATGAAAATAAAAGTCGTCGTCGGCAATAAGCACACGGCGAGATGCGACCCAGAATATGGCCCATAAAGCGAATTAAAAGTTTGTTTGGTCTGCGAAGGGGAGAATCTCCTGTACTTCTTCTTGTCGCGTGCTATCTTGCAAAGTATGTGCGATTGTGCGAAAGCGGCCGTTAAAAGGGAAATTCAGATTTCGCGAGAGCAAACTACTGCTGCTCCCCTTCGCTTGCGAGACTCGCGGTTTGAGTAGCGGGAGAATATAATTAGGCTATTTGTATTCAGTGTACTCCCGACTTTGCCATAGATACTCTCTCGCGCTTAAATGTATTCTAATTACACCGCTAGTTTACCATCTCATCATTTGAATACTTCCGCCGCTCAACTTGCAGCAGGGATCGACACGATCGGCCACCCCGTTGACGACTTCTGACCTCCTTGACGATGCATGGGTGGTTACTTGGCCCAAGAGTGCCCTTCGATTGTTTAATTGCGTCCGGGAAAGTTGTGAGATGCGCGAGGGCGGGCGGGCAGAGACTCATTAGGCATTCGCAACGTGATCTGCGCTCAGGGAAGGACGCAATTTCGACTACGGATTTACGAGCCACTTTCCCGCCGTTTTGCAGTTAAAAGTAATTCGTTTATTTGCAACGTGATAAAACAGTCGATCTCGTGGGCCATTGAGGGAAAAACACAGAGCGCTTCCTTATTCTGCATTATGTTCTGTTGGAAATATTTGTAACAGTTAAAACTATGCTAATGAAAGTTCAATTCTCTAATAGCAATCAAACAATTTAGCCATTATAAATAAAAATTAGTAAGTTATTTGTAAAGTAAGCGATTCTGGAATCAAGTTTTTTTAATATATTGTACCACTAAAATATAAATATTTTATTAAAAAAAAAATACCACTAAAATATAAATATTTTATTAAAAAAAAAATGCGTGCATAAGATCAGATCAGCTCTATTAAGAAAATATAATTAATTTTTAACATAAAATTTGTGGAAATGAAAATTATTCATATTTTATTCAATTTATTTAACAATTTAGCCTTTATTAATAAAAATGGTGGTTATTTGTGGAGTAAGCGATTCTGGAATCAAGTTTTTTATTTAAATATTATACCACAAAAATATAAATATTTTAGTTGCAAATGTTAGTTTATTGGGTTCAGACCAAGGACTATACTAAAAAATTTAATTACATAATTTTTAACATAATATTTGTGGAAATGAATATTATTCATAATTTATTTTACAATTTAGCCATTATTAATAATTATGGTGGAGTTATTTGTGGAGTAAACGATTCTGGAATCAAGTTCTTTTTGCAATATATTGTACCACAAATAAATGTTAGTTGCAAAATGATTGTTTATTGGGTTCAGACCGAGGGTTATATTAAAAAAAATTTAAAATTTTTTACATATAATATTTTGTGAAAAAGAAAGTATTTATATTTTATTTACTTTTATTTTTCAAACACATTAAATTAACAATTTATCAGCCTTTATATTTGCACGTATCAATTAAAGGTCTATTGGAATTGATAGTTAAATACTAAAAACTGTTTTAAATAAAAGTTATCAATCACTATCTGCTTAAAAAGTGTCTCAATCAAAATTCGTAGACCCCCTCTGCGGAATTTCATCCCCCCTGGCTAACGAAAGCTGATCCACAGCAAATGAAATTCAACTTTCTTTTTTCTCCTCTCCTTTCGGCAGCTTACATAAATCTATTTCAAGAAAGCGGCGGCGCCTCCACGCGCCACACGTTTTTGCGCCAGCGAAATATCAAATAAGCCTGGGCACGCGGCGCGCGGGACGTGATTTATGAGAACGAATTTGGAAAACGGAGAGCCGCGTTTGCCGTGCGTAAACACATTAAAATATATCGCATAAATCAAGCGCCCGAAGGCGAGTTAATTAGCACTTTGCATCTGCACTTGACGTGCCATTTGATTTTATTGATAATCGCTCTGCAAAGCGGAAACAAAGCGGCCATTTGCGCATTAGCGAGTTGCGGAATTGGAAGTTACAGCAAACACGCACACAACCTCTTTCAATAGAATTCCTCTGTCAATAGAGGCGTCTTTCGTACAAGCCGCCAAGATGAGGGCGGTGGGTGGCGAACCGCCCTCGTCTCGTGTGTGTTTGCAGATCAGCCCCGGCGCTCGCAAAGCTTGATTGATGAGTCGGCTTAAATGATTAGTCCAAAGCAATCGGCTGCATGCGCCGCCATATTAGGCCCGACGCGGCGGTGCGCTAAGCCTATTATCGCGTATTCACGGCCCTCGGCACCTCATTATCGGCGCGTTTTCTGCCTTCCATCAAACACCGGTGGGCTTACGGGTGCGCGTGACGCGCGGTGACCTTTCAGCTCTCTCCAACAATCGCGAACCCACGCACCGGGCTTCGTCAATATTTACTGCTCTGGTCCAAAGCACAAACCACTGACTAAAAGAGCCGCTCTCACAAAGCTAATTGTAACAACAACTACAGTTCAAACCAAAAAGCTAGACAAATATTTTTTTAATTTCATTAAGTAATTTTTTTAGTAACAAAATTAAATCAAAATTGAGGGAACTGCCGTAATTAGTGAGCCTGTGAAATTATTTTGACAAAAATAACTACAAAAATCATTTTTCAAATTTTATCACAAACAAGCACAAGATTATAAAAAGTAATTTATAATTGTAAAATACAGTTTTGCAGTTAGCAATTGTTTACAACTTATTTCAAACTTTGTATAGAATATTTTTTGCCCTAAAACAATGTAAAATGAGTAAATGCCGTTCCTATCATTATTCATTTAAAACATCATATTTTTTTGTTTCTTTATTTTGAAATTCGAATTAATTAGTTTTTTAAGCCGTAAAATGAATACATTTCTCTTCACATTGCCTTAGAATATTTTGTAATAACATTTTTCTAGATGTTAATTGCAGTAGTAATGAGAAGAAAACAATGTAATGATTATTAAAAAAAAATAAGACATAATTTGATCAATCAAGTT